CTCGTGTACGTCGACGACTTGGTCTTTGCCACTGCGGACACTGCCGCACTCGCCCACGTGAAGTCCGAGCTGCAGAAGAGACACACGTGCACAGACCTGGGTGAACTGACAAGCTATCTTGGCTTGCGGATCACCCGGGACAGAGCACGCCGCACCATTACCCTGACTCAGTCACACATGGTGCAGCAGGTCCTTCAGCGCTTCGGCTTCACGTACTCCTCGCCTCAGTCCACTCCTCTGCCTACGGGTCACTCGCTCTCAGCTCTGCCTTCGGATGAGTCCGTAGAGTCGAGTGGTCCGTATCCAGAGCTTGTGGGCTGCCTCATGTACCTGATGACCTGCACTCGACCTGACCTAGCATACCCTCTCAGCATCTTAGCACGCTATGTTGCTCCCGGCCGTCACCGGAAGGAGCACATGGATGCAGCTAAGAGGGTGTTGCGCTACTTGTGCAGTACGTCGGGCATGGGGCTAGTCCTTGGAGGGCGAGACCGGCCTGTTCTCACTGGGCACTCAGACGCTTCTTGGGCAGACGACCAGGCTACTCAGCGGTCGTCTCAGGGTTACACCTTCAGTCTTGGCTCTGGCTCTGTCTCTTGGCGTTCTACTCGTTCTTCTTCTGTTCTCAGCTCCAGCTGTGAGGCTGAGATCTACGCCACGGCCATGGCTACCCAGGAGCTTCGCTGGCTGACCTACCTGCTGACTGACCTTGGAGAGCAGCCTCGTTCTCCTCCAGTGCTGTACGTCGACAACAAGGCAACCATTGCCTTGTGCCAGGAGCACAGACTGGAGCACAGGACGAAGCACATTGCTCTGCGTTACTTTCTAGCTCGAGAGCTACAGCAGCGTGGTCAGCTTCTTCTGCGTTACGTGGCCAGTGAGGCCAACACTGCTGATGTGTTCACCAAGGCGCTTCCGCCTGTTGACCATCAGCGTTTTTGCACTCTTCTAGGCCTTGTGCCGACTGTTTCTCACTTACTTACTTCTTGACTTTACCTGTACTGTGATCATTATATATATACCTGCATGTTAGCCTTGTTAGGTTGTGATCATTGTACCTCTTGCTCTATTATAAAACTGCATGTGAACTGGTCTTGTGACCGCTTGCTTGTGCTCGGAATTTGTGTGGAATCCTCGAGATCCACCCTGAGCTTGTTTGCCTTGTTTTGCCTTGACTGGTCTTGTGACCCCTAGGTCTCCCCCACTTTGCCTATGGGGGTGTGTCAAACATTTATATGTTTGTGTGGTTCTAGGCTGTAGTGGGTCACACCATAAGGGGTACACCAGATTAGGGTTTGACATATTTGTACTGTTGTTCCTGCTAGTCACTTCTCATTCTCGTTTCTCATTCTGACACTCAGCGAATATGCTGCCACGCAGGTTCCTCTACGGGGGTAGGCGGGGGTTTCCTGCCTGTCATTGACGAGGACCCCGAGCCGCTAGCCCGCAGGGGTCCCTGACGTTGCCCATTTGTGCACCCTCCTCCTCATTTTTTTCATTCAGTTTCTAGTCTAGACCGCCTGGCTGGCAAAGCCATGGCGGAATTCAGTGGGACGCACCTCCTTTTCAAGAAGAAACCAACCCGCGCCTGGCGACTAACCTCGGACGGGTGGTATACACGTGAGCCACCAGCGCCTCCAGTGCCACCTACACCCCCTGCACCGCCTGCTCCGCCTGCTCCTCCTGCACCTCCTGCTCCTCCTGCTCCTCCCGCTCCTCCGAATCCTCCGACTCCTGTTCCTAACGCGTGGGGTCACCATCGGCCCGTGCTCCAGTTATATTTGCCTGCCACTTTCGACGAGTGGTTGTCTGAACCAGACACACCCAAGGCTAGGCAAATCAATGGTCCGCCGACTGCACCTCGGTGGGGAAATCATGAAGCCTGCACGTGGGACGAGTCGGCTGTGGGCGCCAACGATGACGTGGCCGCCGATAAACAACCCACATGCGACGACGATGCTGGAGACGACGGTGGAGTCGACGGTGAAGAGGGCGCCGAGGAGGACGTATTCCCAGATCGTGAAGCTACAAACGCGGACGACGACGGTGTGGAGTCTTGGTGGCGCGACGCACCACGCGAGAAGATGCCGATACCAACGTATCCGTCGATTAAAAAAAAACGACCCCACCCCTCCTCTGAGAACCGAGATGCCCGCCCCCCCTCTCCCAGGCACAAGCCGACTCAACACAAACGGCAGCGCTACACCGCCCATGAGAAACTGAAGTGGCTTGTTCGGCTGGAGCTTGCTGCATCGGTAAGCGAAGTCGCGCGAGAGTCCGGCATACACCGCAAATGCCTCACAGAGTGGAAAAACCAAGCGGAGGAGCTCAAGGCTGCACACAGTGCTCGGTGTCGACTTCATGGGCGCGGAAGGTCTTCCTGGTACAGACCCATGGAGATGAAGGTGTACGCCCAACTCCTGGACTGGCGACGCCGCGGTGTGGCAGTATCAGTCGGCCGGCTGCAAGAGTGGTCAAAAGAGGTGATGAAGGTGTTGTTCCCGGACGTCAAGTGGAAGGCGAGTCAGCGCTGGACGGAGCGGTTCCGCAAGCGGTGGAATCTCACCGTGCGCATGAAAACAAAGGTGGCGCAAAAGACACAGCAGCGTAAATGCCTGTCCGTGCACTGTCATCCTATCGTGAAATTTTATCTTGCATTTCAGTACTTTCTTGCCCATGTTTGTTTATCTGTAGCGGTGCTCATCCGCCCTTGTAACCGTTCCTCCTCCCCGTGCGCAGACGTGGCCAATCAGTGCAAGGAATTTTGGCAGTTTGTCCGCGACGCACGCCACGAATACGACATCGACAATCGTTACATCATCAATGCCGACCAGACGCCTTTGTGGCTGGAGATGCCGGCGACTACTACGGTGGAGCAGACGGGCGTGAAGTCGGTGCCCATCTGCAGTGGTGGTTACCAGAAAGAGAGAGTCACTGTGATGTTGGCGTGCACGGCGACGGGCGAGAAGTTGAAGCCGTAGGTGTTTTTCAAGCGCAAGACCCTCCCAAAGGGTGACTTTCCGAACGCTAAGAAACTGCGTATGCGCGTGTTTCCGAGGGGAAGAACAAAAGTAAAATCTAACCACCGCTTGCTTGTATGCAGATGTCGTGGTCGGTTGCCAAGCTAACGGGTGGATGGAGGCCTCGGGCGTAATCGAGTGGCTCGGTGCAGGCGTGGTGCCATTCCTAAAACCGAAGTTCGGATTGCAGAGCCGGAGCGCCATGCTAGTGCTCGACTCCTATCGTGGACACCTGACACCCGAAGTCAAGGCGAAGTTCGCGGAACTCAACATTGTGCCGGCGGTCATCCCAGCGGGATGCACGGCAGACTTGCAGCCGCTCAATGTGTCGGTCAACAGAAGCTTCAAGGCGAGTGTTCGGCAGGAGTACCAGACCTGGTTCGAGCAGGACGGCATGAACATCGTGACACCCGCAGGTACGCAAAAGTGTTCTCCCGTGACCGCTTCGTCTGTATGTCTGCCTACTTGTGGACCCACGTGTTTCCCACCCCCGTGTATGTGGTGCAGGGAACATTAAGAAACCATCTCCGGAGGTGGTGCTCAAGTGGATTTCACGGGCGTGGAAAGCTGTGCCCGCCGACCTTATTAAGAGAGCGTTCCTCACCTGCGGCATCAGCAATGCCCTTGACGGGAGTGAAGACGGACTGGTGCTGGCGCACCGGAGAGGTCAGCTATCCCACGAGGTATAGGTTGATTACGACATCCAAGCAGACGGGTTCTTTGGCAACAACTCCACGGAGCCTGAGTCGGATGAGGAGTAAGCCTTAGGCTAGACTAAACTTAAAAATGTTGTGTAGGCTAGGATGCTAGTCTAATGTATTTGACTTGAAAGTTTTAGTTGAAATTTTTCGCCAGAGTTATGTAGTTTGTACGAAGGTTGTAAAGAAAGTGAAAAAACCAACAGACATTCTTGTCTATACAGCAAGAGTGCGCTTATAATAAGTAAGGTTTTTTTAGAGGGTGCGCTTCTAATTGAGGATCGGCCATAAGCGCATTGCTCCAGATAGAAGCGCATGCGCTTAACACAGGTCTGCGGTTATATCCGGGGCGATACGGTAAACTTGTTTCCGTAGTACCTGTCTCCACCTCTCCACTTTTTGTGTACTTGTTTCTCCACCTGTCTCGACCCTCCCGCCTCTCTTTGTGCTCAGATCCGCAAGGGCTAGGGCAAGCAGCGTTGGACATCAGCCAAGTCACCATCAGCCCCATTCATCACTGCACCTACACGTGTTCACGTGTAACTCTAAGCGTGTGCTTGCCTCACACTAATACCGTGCACGTGAGCATGCCGTTTTTTCACAAGTAGTGGAGGCAAATGACGCAACGCGCTCCCCGATGGCTAGAAGCTAAGAAGTGAAACATGTCCTTCCCCATCAAATAACATACCTAGGGCTTCTTCATTGATCTTTCCATCATAGCTGGATGGTCATCCAACCACATGTCAAACTATTGCAGTCAGTGTAAAAAGAGGAACACATGTACAGTGTAAATCGTACCCGATAACCATCTCTCTCTTGCTAACAATCAATAAATTCCAGACTCTTGCGTGGCCACATTGACAATTGACCTAGCATCGTTTGACCTCATCCCAAAATCAATCTCCATAGGGTGACCTTGAGAATCCTCTTCCGTGTTTTTTCCCAAGCACACCATCAGAATGCTCCCCACACTAATTCCCTGACTCCCGGGGCCCTCCTCATCCGACAATCCGAGCCAATGTCGCGCCCAAGCGTCAAGCACACGATGCTGCTTGGCATATCGCTCCTCAAACTCAGATATTCCCCACCGTTCTTTCGCATTTTGAACCTGCAGGGGCAAGCCCGTTGGCTGCACAACTCTTCGAGCTCGAACCCTGGGAAAGGGTTAGGGAGTGAATGGGTTGGGAGGGGGGGAGGGGGAGGGGGGGGGGGGAGGGACTATCCGATTACGCAGGTCATTGAATTGAGTTGGCTGTGTAGGGGAGGGTGGGCAGGTCAGGCACTAAACAACAGGTCCGGAAGCACCCTGCCCTGTCAGAGTGGGGCACGGGAGGCGAGGAGAGAGGACCACCCCACCTGTCAGAGGGGAGCACGGGAGGTGAGGAGAGAGGAGCACCCCACCTGTCAGAGGGGAGCACGGGAGGTTAGGAGAGAGGAGCGTCCCACATTCCAGAGTGGAGCACGGGAGGCGAGAGGAGAGGAGCACCATGCCCTGTCAGAGTGGACCACGGGAGGTGAGGAGAGAGGAGCACCCCACCTGTCAGGGGGGAGCACGGGAGGTGAGGAGAGAGGAGCACCCCCCTGTCAGAGGGGAGCACGGGAGGTGAGGAGAGAGGAGCGTCCCACATTCCAGAGTGGAGCACGGGAGGCGAGAGGAGAGGAGCACCATGCCCTGTCAGAGTGGACCACGGGAGGTGAGGAGAGAGGAGCACCCCACCTGTCAGAGGGGAGCACAGGAGGTGAGGAGAGAGGAGCGTCCCACATTCCAGAGTGGAGCACGGGAGGCTAGAGGGCCTGCACCGAGGGCTTGTGAGGGACTGCAAGGTGGGGAAACGTGGGCAAGCAGGGTGGGAAATGAGGGCGTGGAAGAGGAGGAAAGAGGGCGTGCAGAGGGGATGCGGAAGCACAGCCGTTGCAAGAGCGTGAGCAGGGGCCAAGGGCAATATTTGCGATCAGCGACGCGAACAGAGGCTGTCGCGAGACGAAGAGAGGAAGTGAGGAGACGGGAGGTGAAGCCCCTCACGCATCTTAGAGGGGCACGCGTGGGGAGGCGAGAGGAGCACGCAAGATGAGGAGAGAGGAGCACGCGTGGGGGGGCGAGAGGAGCACACAAGGTGAGGTGAGAGGACCACGCGAGGGGAGGCGAGTGGAGCACGCGCAGGGAGGTGAGAGGAGGTTGCACGGGGAGGCAAGAGGGGCGGTAGAGGGGGGGTGAGAGGTGCACACGAGGGGAGGCGAGAGGAGTTCGCGCGGGGAGGCGAGAGAAGCACGCGTGAGGCGGCGAGAGGAGGATGCGCGGGGAGGTGAGAGGAGGCCGCGCGGGGAGGCAAGTGAAGCGCGCGCTATAAAGGCTCGCCTCTCATGCGAGGGGAGGCGAGAGGAGCACGCGCGGGATGGTGAGAGGAGGCCACGCGGGGAGGCGACAGAATCGCGCGCTATCAAGGCGAGAGGAGCACGCGAGGCCATGGCGAGCGGAGCACGCTGGCGATGGTGAGAGGAGGCCGCGCGGGGAGGCAAGAAAAGCGCGCGCGGGGAGGCGGGAAGATGCGGCGCTGGAGGCGAAAGGAGCGCGCGCGGGGAGGCGAGAGGAGCGCGCGCGGGGAGGCGAGAGAAGCGCGCGCGGGGAGGCGTGAGGAGCGCGCGCGGGGAGGCGAGAGGAGCGCGCGCGGGGAGGCGAGAGGAGCGCGCGCGGGGAGGCGAGAGGAGCGCGCGCCGTGAGGCGAGAGGAGCGCGGAGTGGTGTACGAAGCATCGGAATGTGGCCCCACGACGTTGACAAGAAATCGACGAGAGGGGACCGGGGTAAGGGCGTCGGGAGGGCAAGGGCGACGGGGAAACGGGGGATGCGAGGGCGACGGTGCGTCAAGGGGGTGGACGATGTGAGGGGATAGCTAAATTACCTTTCACGGCACTAATTTCGACGTGGAAAAAGGTCACGCTTCGCGCATGTCAATCTTGGGATGAGGGCAAAGCAATTTTTGCAACGGGGTTGAAGGTCCTACCTATGCCGCTGACAGAGCTTTGCGTTTCGCATAATAGCCGCACAAGCATTCCTGAATTACCATTGTTCGGCAAACTGTGCACAGGCAGTTCCCTTCCTCCTTCAGGAAAGGGTGGTTGAAACTCTCGCCAAGCTCTACGACTCAGTCTTCTTGGGATGCGACGTTTTCTGGTTACCATCCTGGCTCGGGAGGTCAACTTTGGGTTCGGGAGGCAAAGTGTGCACAGTTTGCCTTTTTTTGTGTGTAATTCAGGTCTTGGGCTTTAATGTACAGATTCTTGTGCTGTTACATTGCAATGTCATCCACCGTGGCGCTCCGAGGCACTTGACTATCCTTCACCGTCACCGATCTATGGCCTATGCAACTCCTCGTTCGCCCATCCTTCCGGTCACCACCTAAATCAGCTCCAAGCTTGATCAACGGACAGGGCGCGTCTCGGGCACAGCGAATCGTGAAATTATGGGAGGCGAATTTGCCAGAGAAGTTGAGCGCTTTACAAGCATGGGAGGAGGGGAGAAGCAGCATTTCCGCATTGATATGGCGACAGAACCGAATCACTGCTTCTGCCTTTGCCTCCCACGAGAGTGCCTGCGACGGCGGTGATTTTTCAGAGGTTTTCCTCGGAGATTCCGAGGGTGGCGATTGCGTAGATGGGGCGGGATTAGTCTCCCGTTTTTTGCTGCCGTCCGTCTCCCCTGCGATGTCGGAGAGGTCGATAGCTTCGAACCGAATCTGCAAAACGCCAACGGGAGAGGAGGAAATGTGGAGATTATGCCGCAGAGTATGAGAGCAAGCACGGAGGACATGTGTCACAAGGCAGGCCCTAAAAGCCATGCCACCAAGCACCGCGTTCATCACAATCCCATTGCCTTGCATTACCTTGCACTCGCATTGCCTTGCAGCTTGCAAATCCCATCACCATCACCCTGCATACCCCTCACGCTGCACGCCCTAGCACCCCCACGTGGCGAACTCCGCAGTGCCCTCACCTTGCATTCCCTACCAAATCCACCTTCCCCCTCCTCCCTCACCTTGCACACGCGCGCAACAGCCGCCATGCGCATGACCGCGCGCTTGGTGCGCCGATCCCACGCCGTCCTCTCCGCCAACGCGCGCCGCACCTCCCGCTCCTCCATCAGCGCCATCACAACCACCGGCGCCGCGTCCGCGCGCCCCGCCTCCTGCATCTGCCGCACCACGTTTGAAGGGTTTAGCTGCGGCCGCCACAGCTGGTGACGCGGGAGGTCTGGGGGATGGGAGAAGGGGGATAGGGAGTCAGCAAGGTCGGCAATTGTTAGAAATGGGAGCAGAGGTAAACGCCTTCTTGCAGGGGAGGAGAGGAAGGTGGGAGTGGGCGGTGTTAGGACGAGGGGGAAGAGGGTGGCGGAGGCAATAGGTGGTGAAGGAACGGCGTTAACACGGATTCGTAAAGAGAAGAAAGGTGACGGGAGTTAGGCGCTGACTTAGCCTGGGTGGCGCGACGCTGTCGTCCCCGTCGTCGTCGGCGCCGGATGCGGAGGTCGACCGGAGCTTCGAGCTTCCCGCGGCCAGAGGACTCAGGAGCGCAGATAAAATGGACCGCGGGGTTGACGGCGACGCGGGGCTGTTTTCTGATTGGCTGTCGCTCGATTTGTCAGTCGATCTGTCGTTTGACCCTTCGTGAAGCTTCCCCGAGCCACGTGTCATGATGCTAATGGGAGTGTGGTTCGCGTGGTGGAACACCACCACAAGGCGGTCCGTGGATTTCAGCTGGAATTCTTCAGAAGCGGCGAGATTTGCGGGGAGGAATGATTGCGTTTTGTGGCAGGAGGCGGCAAGGGAGTCGAACGCGGTAAGGCACGACTTGCAAGTGTCTATAGCGAGTACGACCGTGCGCTCCTCGCCCACGCTGAATAGAGTATCGAGCTTCGTCGTACCAGAGTTAAACGGCGGCGGCATTGTTCCAAAAGCTCTCTTCTTGGTTCGTGATGTGATGAGACCTTCAGGGTCTCTATTCGGATAGTTAAGGATCTGGTAGGTATTGCGACCTACTAAACAACAAGTAGCTTGTGTCGTAGCGCGTACTTCCGAGATGTAAGATTCCAATCGACGCGTTGCTGCTAAGCGCTTTGGAGGCCGATACTGACAAGAATCGGCAACTCAATCGAGGACGGAGCAGGGGAACTCGAGGTCTTATCCTCGAGACTTCGCGGTGCGATGGAGGGTGGTTTTGGAACGACTCGAAAGGCAATGCTCAACGATTACCCGAGCTCGCTTCTTTTGAGAGTTGGGTCGATAGAACACTGCACCGCTGTCTCTTACATTCGGGGGTACCTTGGAATTCGTCAGGCTGTGAATGGTGCGAGCAAGGAAACGCACACTTGAACGAGGACTGTACAGTTCCCACGAGCCATGGTCATAACTCATGGGTCCTCACTTCCCACAGCGCTAGCCGTTGGTCAGAAGAGACAGGCGTCACCCCGAATGGTGTGCTGCCCGGCACGGACCGCAAATGGCTGTTACACTGCAGGGAGCAAGATGGTGCTGCGCTGCTAGGTAAGGGACGGGATTGGAGAAAGGGCCATTTGACTAATGCTGATAACATATGGCTGGCAACGGTAGCAAGCACTCGGAAAGCCGCAGACGAAACAGTCTCCGGCTTGTTTGCCGTTTCTTTGCCAGAATTTACATCGGAAAGCGCCGCTTGCTCTGCTTGCTGCTGTGGGAAGGGAATGGGTAAGTAACTTTGGAAGGGCTTACACTAGCGACCCTGTGCTCCGAGGGGGCCTACAGTGCAAGTAGAGGGCACTTTCCACCCCTCCGTGCCTCAGACAGGGAAGTTATAGAAACAGGACAGGGCAAATCCCCACATTCACCCACGTGTCAACAATTTCCATGCCACCTACTGTACTGGACATCTGACCACCTGTGCACAACAGATTTTTGTCCCCACTGCAAAATCGAATCCACAAACTGGGTGGCTCGGCTGCCACACTGTTCCGAAATCCGCTAGGCTACTGTTTCGCGCCCAGATTTTAGGAACGGCCATCAAGGCAGACGGAAACGAAAACGGAGTAGCTCTCCGTCAAATCTTTCGAGTGACTTTTCCCGTCAGGGGTTTCTGTCACACATAACAGAGTCGCGATTTTGTACATGGGCGATACAACAACACATATCACAGCTGATAAATTTATGTTTCATATTCAGAAATATGAATATTGAAATATGTGTGTGTGTGTGTGTGTGTATGTGGGTGTGTATGTGTGTGTGTGTGTGTGTAAGTGTGTGTGTGTGTGTGTGTGTGTGTGTGTGTGTGTGTGTGTGTGTGTGTGTTTCAGCGCAAATCACATCGCTTCCTCCACAAACTGTAGTATGCATATCAAGTTGGTTGACATTTGAAATTACGATTTCGAAGTCTGAATTGTACTGCCATATGATTCATTCGTGCATTAAGAAGATTGAGTACCCTAAACTAATTGCGAGACCCTAAACTCATATTTCAATATTCATATTTCTGAATATGAAACATAAATTTATCAGCTGTGATATGTGTTGTTGTATCGCCCATGCACAAAATCGCGACTCTGTTATGTGTGACAGAAACCCCTGACGGGAAAAGTCACTCGAAAGATTTGACGGAGAGCTACTCCGTTTTCGTTTCCGTCTGCCTTGATGGCCGTTCCGAAAATCTGGGCGCGAAACAGTAGCCTAGCGGATTTCGGAACAGTGTGGCAGCCGAGCCACCCAGTTTGTGGATTCGATTTTGCAGTGGGGACAAAAATCTGTTGTGCACAGGTGGTCAGATGTCCAGTACAGTAGGTGGCATGGAAATTGTTGACACGTGGGTGAATGTGGGGATTTGCCCTGTCCTGTTTCTATAACTTCCCTGTCTGAGGCACGGAGGGGTGGAAAGTGCCCTCTACTTGCACTGTAGGCCCCCTCGGAGCACAGGGTCGCTAGTGTAAGCCCTTCCAAAGTTACTTACCCGAAGGGAATGCTTTCACAAGCTTCCAGCTGCAGTGAGAATCTTACATAAACGATGCTCCTGCTGGTGGGTTGTAATGGTAGCAAGTTGGATTCGGTTGGGTTCTTCATGGTTCAGAATGGCTTGATGCGGCTTGATGCTATACAGAACGCTTCACCATGGTTGTGCTTGGTTTGGTTGCAAATGGGAGCAACCCCAGCAAGTGTGGGTTCGTTGGGGCCCGAAGAAGTCTGCTCTGTATCTAAACTTGCGATTGCTCTAATTGGTGGATAAAGTGGACTGTTTATTCGGTCTATAATACCTCTCGCAGGTAATAGATCGGTTTGAGGGGCGTCGAAGGTGTTCATCCCAAAGCCTGACTGCAGTCCCTCTCCTAGTCCCGACAGTTGCGTCCGTTGTTTGTACTCGAGCAGCAGTTTACTTTCTCTGCCAGCCGATTGGTCGACTAGCTCAACAGTCCCTCCTGCTGACTGATTTCCGTTGGAAAACGAACAAGTGTTGCTGGCTATTGGCTGTTTCTGCCGAACCACCTTTGCTCTGTTCTGTAGCGTTCTGCTGAAGCGAATTCGGTACAGCATAACGTCTGAGAAAACCTTTGACCAACCTAACAACCCTAGTCCTAAGAAGAACAATAAATCTCCACTTCCAAAACTCTACCTCATCACAAACTATGTCATTTTCACCATAATGACTACTAAGAAACTTAAAGCTACTAACCAAGGTACCTGCAAGTTTTGAAACAGGGTATCTGTTGGTAATCTGCAGCCAATACCGTACTTCATTGATACACGTGGTGCTCTTTGTAGTGGTGTTTCTCTAGTTCTCTTTTCTACTTACACTTGTAATAATGTGTCAACCAATTTCATACATTTCTCTGACCACACCACATCCATCGACCGTACAACATAACCATAGTGCCCACAATCCGCCGCATGTTGAACTGCATGCCTGCAGCCTGCAGGTCCTGCCGCAGCAAATCTAGGACCAAACACCAACACCTGTCACTGGTGCTTCTCTGCAACACCCGAGCTGCCGTGATTGGTGGACTATATCCATTCTCACAACTCGAGCCCTGGTTGTCACAACTCCGCATCAGAGAATAGTCTTTCTCATCCCCAACCCCAGTAAGAGCCGGTCTAATCCTCTCGCTCCTACTCTTGCTACCAGCATCCGTGGCACCACCCACCATGCCGAGCACCTCTCTGCCGCCCACCAGGAGAGCTGCATGCCGCACAGCCTGCATTGCGGCGACCTCACATCGGTGCCCACCGGGAGAGTGGCATGGCATGCGGCACCTCTAGCATCGGAGCCGTTGGTTACCAGCACTGATGTTGGTCTCCTGCACTACATTGCACGTGGCCGTCACACGCTGTGCACTAAACCAATCACAAGCTTCAGCTATCAGGAGGGCTCAGCCACGAAGGAGTGTCTTTTTCATCCCCAATATCAGGAGGAGGATGAGTTTGTCTGAACCTCTCCCTCCTTGTCTTGCTGCGAGCAGCCACAGCAGCACCCACCATGCTGAGCACTGCAGAAGGAGCAGGTCTGAACCTCCCGCTCCTGCTCGTGCTGCGAGCAGCCACAGCACCACCACCCACCATTCCGAGCACCTCTCTGTCGCCCACCAGGAGAGCCACATGCCGCACGGCCTGCAGCAGCTTCATGTCAGTGGCGCGGTCGACACAGCATCACTTGCCCACACAGCACAACCTACCTACACCATTCACACGCTTGGATCACCAGCGCTCGGGGTCAAAGAAGAGTCCACATGGACTTGTGAGTCGACTATCGAGTTAAGTCGGGGTCAAAGAAGAGTCCACATCCTTGACTGCAGAAGGAGCAGGTCTGAACCTCCCGCTCCTGCTCGTGCTGCGAGCACCCACAGCACCACCACCCACCATGCTGAGCACCTCTCGATCCCCAACCAGGTGAGCCGCGTGCCGCACGGCCTGCAGCAGCCTCTCATGGGTGGTGGCGTTATCACGGGCTGACAGCACGCGCCCGTGGGTGTCGCATTGGAGCAACCCTGAAGTGAGCATGTCTCGGAAGAGGGTGAGTGCGAGCTTGGGCTGGCGGCAGTGCAGGAGCGTGCGGATGACCGTGGTGTAGTTGACCTGTGATGCATAGGGGAGGGCAGAGGAAATGGGACACATGTTGGGAAAGAGGGTGAGTGGGAGCTTGGGCTGGCGGCAGTGGAGGAGAGTGCGGATGAGTGTGGTGTAGTTGACCTGCCGGGCATGGAAGAGGGCAGAGGCAAAGGGACACAAGTTGGGGAGAAGGACTATTGACAGGTTGGGTTGATGGCAGTGCAGGAAAGTGCGGATGACCGTCATGTAGTTGACCTGCACAGGCCGTGCACACACATGGACAGAACAGCGCATGCATGCACACACATGGACACACTGGCGCATGCATGCACACACATGGACACACTGGCGCATGCATGCACACACATGGACACACTGGCGCATGCATGCACACACATGGACACACTGGCGCATGCATGCACACACACCCATATGGACACACTGGCGCATGCATGCACACACATGGACACACTGGCGCATGCATGCACACACACCCATATGGACACACACACAAGACTTTTGAAACGTCTCTACGGAGAGTGCGGATGAGTGTGGTGTAGTTGACCTGCCATGCATGGAAGAGGGCAGAGGCGAATGGACACATGTCGAGGAGGAGGGTGAGTGACAGCTTGGGCAGGCAGCAGTGCAGGAGAGACTTTTGAGGATTCTCTTTTGAGAGTCACTTTTGCGAATCACTTGTGAGAATTCTCCAAGGAGGGTGATGGTCGGCCTGGGCTGGCGGCAGTGCAAGAGAGTGCGCACGACTGTGCACCCCTCACTGCCCCACTACACGCCTCACCTTATTATGGAAACCTGGGTCGTCCCTCATACGCCTGAATGCGTCCAGCATCTCGTGCCACATGCCCCACGCCCCTTCAGCATGCTTCAGCATGTTTCATCTAATAAATACTCCTCTCACATACCCTAAGCATCCCCCATCCATTCACCTTGTCATGATAGCCCGGGCAGTGCTGTAGCGACCCGAACACGTCCAGCATCTCGTGCCACATGCTTCCCGTCTGCAGGCACCTCCCCCGGCACGCCTCACATCGCCCAAGCACAAGTAAAACGTGCCATGCCATGCAAAGAACATCCCCTCACACCCCGCATGGTCCTTACCTTGTCATGATAGCCAGGGTAGTGCTGTAGCGACCCGAGCACGTCCAGCATCTCGTGCCACATGCTTCTCCTCTGCAGCAACCATTCCCGCACGCCTCACAATCCCTTATCAACGCCTCACCTTGTCATGATATCCCGGGTAGTGCTGTAGCGACCCGAACACGTCCAGCATCTCGTGCCACATGCTCTTCCTCTGCAGCACATGCAGCAGCGCCCGCACCACTGCTGGCGAGGGGGGAGCGTGTGGGTACGCTCCCAGGCACCGCCGGAACCAAGACACAGCCTGGCAGGGGGTGGGAGGTGGAGACGGGAGTGGAACAAGAGGGGGGATGGAGAAAGATGGCAGGAATGGGGGGGGTTACGGAAAGGGGTACCGAATGTAGCAGCACCTGCACCACTGCTGGCGAGGGGGTTCCGTGTGGGTGCGCTCCCAGGCACCGCCGGAACCAAGACACAGCCTGGCAGGGGGTGGGAGGTGGAGACGGGAGTGGAAGGGGGAAGGTGGCAGAAACGGGGGGGGGGGGGGGGGGGGGGGGTGGTTACGGTGTGGGGCAGAGAGTGCAGTGCAGCAGCGCTTGCACCAGTGCAGGCGAGGGGGGGGCGCTTGCACCAGTGCAGGCGAGAGGGGGGCGTGCGGGTGCGCTCCCAGGCACCGCTGGAACCACGGCACAGCCTGGCAGGGGTTGAGAGAGGCGGACACAGGTTGATGAGGAGGAGTGGGTATGGCATGGCGAATGGCAGGGCAGGAAGGGAGAGGGGGCGGTGGCGGTGGCGGCAGCAGCAGCGGCATTAGAAGCATGAGTAGCATTAGTAGCATCAGCAGAAGTGGTAGGAGCAGCAGCTGGCGTCTGCAGCACAGCAGCAGCTGAAACACTAGCAGAATAGAAGCAGATGCAGCAGTGCAGGTGCAGAAGCGCAAATGCAGCAGTACAGGTGCAGCAGCATTAGCAGCAGATGGAACAGAAGCTGCCTGTCCCTCACCTGGTGGGGTCGTCTGCAGCGCAGCAGCAGCTGCAGCACCTCCTCTAGAGCCCGCGGGCCCCCCAATACAGTCACGTCCGCCGCTACCCACTCCCGCAGCAAGAAGACAAAGAAGTCCGCCTGCCCGTGCGCTGCTGCCGCCCGCAGCACGTCCAGCAGTGCGCCGCCCGGTACAGGGATGCTGGCATGGGAGAGGCAGTGGAGGAGAGAGGCGGCCTGCCAGAAGCAAGGGATGGGGGGCAGCGGGGGGGGAGGCAGGAGAGGAGGGCGGTAGGGGAGGTAGGAAGGCAGAGGAAGAGCAAAATATAGTTTGAACCTTAAAACCTTTTGAAAATACAGGAAAGATCATTGAAGACTCTCTCTCCCCTCGCTTTTGAGGCGCCTCCAATGAAGACTCTCTCCCCTCGCTGTCCCATTTCCCCTCTCTGTTACCTCTTGGAAAACAAGGAAAAACCAGATTTCACATCTTCTTACCTCTTCCCTCTCCCCTTACCTCTCCCTCTTCCCCCTTCATTCTCCCCTCTTCCCCCTTCACCCTCCCTTCTCCCCCCTCACCTCGTCTCGGAGCCCTCGTCTTGCATGTGCCAGCAGCAGCACCAGAGCCATGTCACCAGCATGCAACCACCCCTCCTGCACTGCCTCCTCCACCACCCCTGCTGCCACCCTCAACGCCCAATCCTCCTCCTCCTCCTCCCTCTCCTCTCCCCCCTCCTTTCCACCACTCATCTCTACATTTCCCCCTATTACTGCCCCACTCTTTTGAGAATTCTCAAAATTCATTCCAATATCACTCATCTCTACATTTCCCCCTATTACCGCACCACTCCTCGCCCTCCCCTCCTCCCTTTGCACCGCCTCTCCCCTCACCCTCCCCTCCCCCACCAGAGCAGCGACTGGAGCGCAGCATGCAGCAGCACAAGGCTCCTGCCCCTCTCGCCTCAGCAGCCGCAGGAGGTCCAATGAGAATGCGACACGTGGCATGTCCACCGGACCTAGTGGGGCCGAAGCGGAGCCTGAGCCTGAGCAGCAGGCTTGGACGGCCCAGGAGATCAGGTTGGTTCGGTGACGGTGGAAGAGGGGGGAGGAGAGAGGGGAGGTCAAAGCGTCACCTGTAAGACCATCTGCTGCTGCTGCCCCTGCTACTTGTGCTGCTGCTGCCCCTGCTACTTGTGCTGCTGCTGCTGCTGACGGTTCTGATTCTCTTTCTTTTGCCGCTGTTGCTGCTGGTTCTGTTGCTGTTGGTGGTGCTGCAGTGGTAGCAGCAGAAACAGGGGAGGCGAGGGAGGAGAGGTGGAGGGCAGCGAGGCGGATAAGGTGGGAGAGGAGACGTGCGGGGGAGGAGAAGGGGAGGGGAGGCGGGCCCACGAGCGAGTGAGTGAGAATGTGTACCGTGTCCTGAGAGACGTGTGGAGAGAGAGGAAGGGAAGGCATGGAACGATTCTTAAGGTTTCTGGAGATTCGTCGTTTTCAGGGCGCCTCGAACAAAGAAAAAGAGAAAGTTAACTGTTTCTTGGGAGAGGTGGCGAGAGGGAGGAGGGATGGGAGGGAACGGAGGGAAGGGAGGGAAATGGGTAGAGGGGGCAGGGAAAGAGAGGGGGAGGGTGGATTGTGGAAGGATGAATAGAACAGTGGCGTCAGCAGATGAACAGCAGAGTGATTGAGCAATGCACGTACCCGCACCTCGTTTGCCACTCACCTGGTTGGGCACGCACCTCGTTTGCCACTCACCTGGTTGGGCAGCTCGCCCCGTCGATGCATCTCCAGCAGCAACCCAGTCTTTCTCCCATCATCGACGCTGCTCCTGCTGCTGCTGCTGCTGCTGCTGCTCCTGCTGTTGTTGTTTGTCACTCACCTCACAAAAACACACCCACAAAGGAACACACACTAACCTGGTTGGGCAGCTCGCCCCGTCGATGCATCTCAAGCAACAGCCCATCCACCTCCTCCACCATCGCTGCTGCTCTTGCTGCTCCACCTGATACTGATGCAGATGACGCTGCTGCTGCTAATGTCGTTTCAGACTCATTCCCCTCGTCTTTCCCCTCGCTGTCCCCAATGGCCTCACGAATGGCCTCATTGAAAGCAGCAGCAGACAGAGCAGCGCCTGCAGTGGCCAGGCGCCGCAGCATGGCCCGTGCCGTGGGTAGACGGGGCGTTGTGGATTCTTGCGGTGATGCGTTCTGAGGGATGGGGAAGGAAGTGGTGGGAGCAGGGGTTGGAGGAGAGTGTGGTGTGGGAGTGGAGGAGGGAGGAGGAGGAGGAGGAGGACGGGGGGAGGTAACGGAAGGGGCTTGGTGCTGAGGGTGGTGCGTTGATGCGAGGCGAAGGGCTGAGAGCAGGGCTGCACAGGAGGTGGGGTCTGGAAGGATGCCTTGTGCCTGGAGGTGAGGACGGGCAGGGAGAGAGGGTGGGGAGAGAGGGTAGGGAGAGAGAGCAGGCAGGAAAGGGGTAAGCAAGGAGAGGATATGTGAGACAGGATGAGAGGTTAAATCTGAGTCGCTTTTGAGAATCCTAAAAAACAATTCAGAGAGCAGTGGAACATTGAAATGACATGATAAGACAATGTCTGTGTGTGCCGTGTTCCCAGATTTCAACCGGGTGCAGATACGTGCACGCCTCAACGAGCAGTTGGACCACATGGAGGATGTTCAGGAATTGGCTGAGTGCTGCAACAAGGTGGCACAAGCCAAGCGAGGTGTGTTTGGGGGGGGGGGGGGGGGGGGTGACATGAGAATGGGAGTGGTAGGAAAAGGAGAGTGGCATGGGGAAGACAAGGGTCGGGAGTAGCATAGGGAGGAGGGCGGCAGGGAAAGGGAGCTCATCCAACTCGTTGCTCTTATCGTCGAATTTGTTCATATAGTCTGTCAGATGCAGAGAGAACATACTGGAAGGAGATAAGAAAGAACTCGTTCCCATGCTACCCCGCTCCCATGCCGCCCAACTTATCTCCCACTACCCGCTTCCACATGCCACTCCCATTCCCCAACCACGTCTCTCCCGACAATGTGGCCCATTCCTCCTTATGGAGGGAAATGGCTGGGGGATGGGAGTGGCATTACAAGGGGGTAGCGGGGGATGAGTGGGGCGGCGTGAGGAGGGTAGTGGCATGGGGATCGAGCTCTTTCTTATCTCCTTCCACTATGTTTTCCCTGCACCTGACAGACCACGTGAACAAGGCCAACAATAAGAGCCGGATGTGTTCCCTTTCCCTGCCACCCTCTTCCCTATGCTACTCCCTTCCTCTCCCTTCCCCATACCACTCTCCTTTCCTTGCTACTCCCATCCCCATGCCTACTCTCTCCCCCCCCTTCGAACACACCTCGCTTGGCTTGTGCCACCTTGTTTCAGCACCCAGCCAATTTCTAAACATCTCCTACCTGGTCCAACCGCTCGTTGAGGCGTGCACGTATCTTCACCCAGCTGAACTCTGGGATAACATGATATAACAAGAAACCACATGACAAAACATGACACGACGCGGCACGACAACACATCACACCACACCAAACCATACAACAATGCACCACACCAAACCGCACCACACCACACCGCACCACACCACACCGCACCACAGCACACTGCACCACATCACACCATAGCACAACAGGTGAAGAGTCTACTGCGGCCAAGGAGGCCCACAACAACAAACGAGTCACTCACCAGCCGCACCTCAAGCATCCTGACCTGCTCCGCCACCCCCACTGCAAACGCCTCCCTCTCCTCCCTCTCCTCCCTCTGCCTCCTCTGCTCCCTCTGCTCCCCCACCCCCTGTTCCTGCTCTCCCAAGTTTGTTGCCCCCACGCCTGTTGCACCCACAGCAACCCCCTTCCCCGCTGCACCCTCCGCTTCCCCCTCCTCTACCTCCTCCTCCTCTTCCACCCTATCCCCTCTTGTTTCCGCCCCCCATCTGCCTTCTTCCGGCCCCTCCCCCAAACCGCCCCTCACCATCCCCCTCACTCTTCCCTCTTCATCCCCTCCGAACCCTCCTCCCCCCCCCCCCTTCACCCGCCACAATCCCCCTTTCTCGTTCCCCTTCAACAGCCTCTTCCACACCCCTCTCTCGCTCCACCACTTGAGTCCACGCCTCATTAACACTCTTCACCCTCCCCTTCCCCCTCACCCACCGTTCCACTGCCACTCCCCTCTCCCTCTCCCTCTCCTCCCTCCACTCTGCTTCCACCCGCAACTGTTTTGCTGCCCACTCTGCCTGTTCAGCTGCCCGCCGGGCAGTTTTTTCCTCCCAAGCAGCCTGCCGGGCAGCAGCACTGGCCTCTAAAAGTGCTTCCATCCGATCGGCCAGCTCCTCCCGAGCCTCCGCCGAGCCGAGCACAGCCACCGAGCCTCCCTCCCACTTCTCCTCCTCGCGTCTCTCGTCCGGCCGAACCACTCCAATCAACTGCTGCTTCAGAAGCTCCCTTCTCTCAGAAGCACCACGGCCGACACCTCTTCCATCCAATCCCTCCTCTGCCTCCTCATCCTGCTCCCCTTCTACTCCTCCCCTTCTCCCTTCCGACCCCTTCTCTCCTCCCCCCTGCTCCCTCCCCTTCCCTACATACTCCATTTCTTCTACCTCCTCTCTGCCCCTCCCTTCATCCCGCTTCTCTGCTTCTCCTCTCCCCTCCTCATCTCTCTCCTTCCCAACCAATCGTAGGCTCCTAGAGGCAAAGAAGAACCGTCTCGCGAGAGGAGAGGGCAGAAGGAGGGGGCTGCTGCCCTGAGCCCTCTGCATGCACTCTGCGATCTCCACGCTCCATCTCAGACGATCAACGGCCCACGGCTCTCCGATCAGCAGCACTGCCATGTTCTCCAGAACCTCTCGAGCACGCGTGGATAACGCTGAGCTGGCATGCGCGGACAACGCTGAGCTGGCACACGGGGCCGCCGCAGACGTAACCCTGTCCGATGTAACTGCATCAGATGTAACCGCGCCAGCTGTCGCCGGTTCTTCAGACGCGTGGGGCTCTGGTGGCAGCTGAGTGGCCTTAGAGGCAACAAAGGCAACAAGGGTTGCGGGGGAGGGGAACGGCTGGTTGGGGCCACATGCACCCTTCAGCACGAAGAGCAGCGACCTCTGTAGAGGGAGAGAGTGGGGGGAGGGAGAGGAGGGGAAAGGGGGAAAGGTTTTAGAGGCAACAAAGGCAATGAGCGATGTGGGGGAGGGGAACGGCTGGTTGGGGCCGCATGCACCCTTCAGCACGAAGAGTAGAGATCTCTGTAAAGGGAGCTCGGGAGGGGGAAGAGAGAAGAGAGGAAGTGTGTGTGTGGGGGGGGAAGGTTGAGGAGTGGGGGGAGAGGGTGCACCAAGAAGGTTTGCAGTTTAGGGTTTAGGGTGGCAGGCTCAGGGGCTTTGGGTTTGAAATTAGGACAGTAGAGTTGCCCATCACATACCCATGCTGCCCATCACATTTCATGCTGCCCATCACATACCCATGACGGGATGACGTTATGACTGAGCATGTCACCAAAAACAGCTGCCACGTCATCAGCTGCTTCCTGCCTGCATGCTGACATCAGCACCAGATTGAATGGAAGCACATACCCTCCTGTGAACACTGTAGCACTCTCATTACTATCACCCTCGTTACTATCACTGCCACTGCTGTCAACTCTACCGCTGCCCCTCCCCCTATTGTCACCCTCTTGAGTTTCACTTCTTTTACTGTCGACCCCCCCATCAGCAGTCCCAGCATAGCGGCTCATGCTCCGCCCCACTTGCATCTCCTCCCGCCCCTGCTGCACCCATCTCAGCTCCTCCTGCCTTTCTTGCACGGGCATTTGACTCTCCTCCTGTCCCTCCTGCCCTTCTTGCCCTTGCTGCCTGCGCATTTGACCCTCCTCCTGTCCCTCCTGCCCTTGCTGCCCGTGTATTTGAGTCCCCTCTCGCCCCACAGCACTTAGCATCATCCGGTAAACTTCTTTCAGCTGCCCGTACTGCCCGGGGTCGCGCAGGGCAGAGAAAACACGCGCCCATGCAGCAGGAGGGGGCGGAGGGGCGACGGGATCCGCCTGATGGGGGGGGGGGGGAGAGAAGTGCAGGGGGACGAAGAGGCAAGTGACAGTTATGATTGGTTCTTGAAAGCTCAGATAAATACAGCAAGAGAGCAGCACTGCACTCACCACTACTCTGCACTGAGGCACCCCAAAGCTTGCTGCACTCACCATGTGCTGTTGAACGAGCAGCCACGCCTCATGGGGATCCACCCTCTTCCACACCGCCACCACCACATCTTTTGCGGCGCCTCACAACTCGCTTAAAAAACCTTTGAGGCGCCTCACAACTCGCTTAAAAAACCTTTGAGGCGCCTCAAAGCGCACTGCACTCACCATCTGCTGTTGAACCAACAGCCACGCCTCTTCAGGATCCACCCTCTTCCACACCACCTCACTCCCCCTCCCCTCCCCATCCCGTTCCACCTCCTGCTCCCACTCCCCCATCCCCGCCTCATCCGCCCCTTCATTCCCCTCCCCCCTCACTCCCCGACCACCCCCCATCACCGGGCTCAACCGCTCTCGATCCCCTCGCAGCCTCGCCCGCCTCTCCCCCATCAGCTCCCACGTCTGCTCCACTCTCTTAGCCGCCCCCTGCCTCCTCCCCCTCGCTCCTCCCCTCTCCCCTCCCCTCTCCCCTGCCCTCTCCCCCTCCCCCTGCGCCAGCTGCGCCCATCTCTCCGCCAGCTCCCCCTCCTCCGCCCTCTCTAGCTCCTCCAACGCACTCCGCACTCTCTCCCCCACCCGCGCCCGCACTCGCCCTCCCACCCTTCCGCCCCACCTGCCTGTGCCTCCCGCCCTCGCATCCCCTCCCTCTGCGCCACTCTCAGGGTTCCACACCACGCCCCAGTAAGTGCTCTGCACATAGTCACCCACCCTGTCATTACCAACCCTGTCGCCGAACCTGTCGCGACCAAACCTGTTGCCGAACCTCTGGCCTAATCTGTCGCCTACCCTGTTGCCTACCCTATCTGCCTCTCCTTCAACTGCATGAGAATCAGCGCCTGCAACCTCATTTCCCACAGGCTCTTCTGCAGTCACCTTCCATGTAGAGCCATCCACCACCTCTGCCACTCCCCCAACTGCCTTTGCTACCATCTCCTCAGGTGCAGCATCACTCCCTGCAGCTGCAGCAGCCTCATTCCCCCCAGCCTCTGCTGCAATCACCTTCGTTATAGCGTCATCCACCGCCTCTGCCTCTCCTCCAGCCGCCTGTGCCACCATCTCCTCAGGAAAATCCCCCTCTGGTGATGCCTCTGCTACAGCTGCCTCTACAGCCCGCTCTGCTACAGCCATCTCTGCGACAGCCGTCTCTGCTACAGCCGTCTCTGCTACAGCCGTCTCTGCTACAGCCGTCTCTGCTACAGCCGCCTCTGCTACAGCCGCCTCTGCTACAGCCATCTCTGCTACAGCCATCTCTGCTACAGCCATCTCTGCTACAGCCATCTCTGCTACAGCCGCCTCTGCTACAGCCATCTCTGCTACAGCCATGTGCACTGCACCTAGTTGGTTCTCATCCCTCCAACTGCCACCGTGCTGCACTGTACCAGCCTCCACTTTGCCGCCCACAACCGGCCTTCTCAGCATGGATTCATCCACACTCTTCCCCCTCCCTCCTCCACCCCCTCTGCCCTCCCCACGCCTTCCCCCAACCCATCCCATCGCCAGCCTTCGCTCTGCCAGGCTCAAACTGCTGCTGCTGCTGCCACTGTTGCTACCATTTTCACCACTTGAAAGTCCTCCGTTCTCCCCTCCGTTCCTCACTCCTGACCCCTCGCCTTCCCCTCCCGTCCGTTCCATCTCTCTTCTCTCCCTATCAACTTCTGCTGCTGCCACCACTGCTGACGCCACTGCTACATCGTCTGCCGCTCCTTCCCCTGCTCCTTCTGCCACTACCACTGCTGCCGCCCCTGTCCCGTCCCCTGCTGTTGTCGCCACTGGCATTCCCACTCCCGCCACTGGCATTCCCACTCCCTCCACTGCCATTCCCACTCCCTCCACTGGCATTCCCACTCCCTCCACTGGCATTCCCACTCCCTCCACTGGCATTCCCACTCCCTCCACTGCCATTCCCACTCCCTCCACTGGCATTCCCACTCCCTCCACTGCCATTCCCACTCCCTCCACTGGCATTCCCACTCCCTCCACTGCCATTCCCACTCCCTCCACTGGCATTCCCACTTCCTCCACTGCCATTCCCACTCCCTCCACTGCCATTCCCACTCCCTCCACGACCTCCCCTGCCCCGCCCCTTACTTCCACCACCTGAGCCCCCAAAGCTATCCGTTCCTCCCTCTCCTGCCCTCCTCTGCCTCGCAGCCCTCCCTCTACCTCCCCCTTCGCCTCTGCTGCTCCTCCTTCCTCTCCCTCCCTCTCTTCTCCCGCATCCCCCCCTTGTCCCCTCTCCTCCTCCTCTCTCTGTGCTTCCTCTGCTCCCTCCACCCCCTCCACCATCCCATCACTCGCGCACACCGACTGCCCCAGCACACCACGTGTTTGTTTTTGAGTCGACTTAAAAACAGCCTCTGCTCCCTCCACCCCCTCCACCATCCCATCACTCGCGCACACTGACTGCCCTAGCACGTCCCAATCAGACTCGCCCGCATGATCTCCCTCTGACGCCTCCTTGCCCCTTCCACCACACACATGCTGCTGTCCTGCTGCCGGCACGCTCACAGCCTCCTCAGCTGCTGCCGGCACACCCACACACTCCTCCAACCATCCGCTTCCCGCCTCAACAACCCCGTGCCCGTCACCCTCCGCCATGCCACCGTCCACCTTCTCCCCGCTCGCTGCCACGTGAGCAGGCACGACATCATCGCCAGCCGCCACGTCAGCAGGCACGATGTCATCCCCACCCGCCACGTCAGCATCCTTAAACAGGTACCTGACAACCACCCTGAGAGCCTTGTCGCTACCCCTCAGCTCGCCCGCCAGCACGGGGAACTGCCTCTCTGCTGCCTCCACCTCTTCCGGGGGTACCTCTACCACCATAGCTCCTGCTGCCAACTCTGCCAACGGCGCTGCTGCAGATGCACCTGCTGCCACTGCAGCGCTGCTTGCACATGGTTCATCTGTCACACTGCCTTCTGGAACTGCTACACTTGCTCCACCGCTCGCCCCGACAGCTTCCCACGTTGGACTATCCACTTCCTCACTCCCTCCCTCACTCTCTCCCTCACTCCCTCCCACCTCCCTCTCCCGCTCCTCTTTTGCCGCCCACAGCAATACCGCCAGCCCCCTGAGCCCGCCCATAGACGCGCAGGCCTTGGCTAGCAGACGAAGCGCGTAACTGTCCGCCGGGCGGCCGCCCGCCCGCATTGCTGTCCATACACGGGAAAAGGCCGAAAGATTGCCGGCCAGGAGGTAGGCGGACAGGAGTACAGTGTAGGGGCGCTGATGGGGAGGAGGGGAGGGGGGTGGGGAGGACCGGGGGGAAGGAAAGGAGGACGTGCTATTCAAGAATGGAAGAGGCTAAGAGGCTGCAAGGACGGAGGAGGCGGGAGGCGGGAGGGAGGGAGGGAGGGAGGGAGGGAGGGAGGGAGGGAGGGAGGGAGGGAGGGAGGGAGGGAGGGAGGGAGGGAGGGAGGGAGGGAGGGAGGGAGGGAGGGAGGGAGGGAGGGAGGGAGGGAGGGAGGGAGAGAGGGAGGGAGGGAGGGAGGGAGGGAGGGAGGGAGGGAGGGAGGGAGGGAGGGAGGGAGGGAGGGAGGGAGGGAGGGAGGGAGGAGGGAGGAGGGAGGAGGGAGGAGGGAGGAGGGAGGAGGGAGGAGGGAGGAGGGAGGAGGGGGAGGGGGAGGGAGGAGGGAGGAGGGAGGAGGGAGGAGGGAGGAGGGAGGAGGGAGGAGAGAGGAGGGAGGAGGGAGGAGGGAGGAGGGAGGAGGGAGGAGGGAGGAGGGAGGAGGGAGGAGGGAGGAGGGAGGGGGGAGGAGGGAGGAGGGAGGAGGGAGGAGGGAGGAGGATGAGGGAGGGAAGGCTGAGGGAGCAAGAGAGGGACAAGGAGAGGGTGATGCAGGGCAATGTGGCATGGCAGGTGACCATTGAGCATAAGTTAGCTCAGGTGCAACTTGCTGACGTGGTGCTTGCTGACGTGGTGCTTGCTTACTAGCGTCCACTCACCCCGTATTTGAACCGCTGCACAGTGACCAAGTGAGCGCGCCCATACTCCGCACACACCGCCTCCGCCTGTTCCATGCGCCCCGCCCCCACCATCGCCTCCACCACCATCACATACAAGCTCGGCTCCACACCCCTCTTAGGCTGTTTTTGAGAAACCTGGCTCGCCACTCCCTCTTGCACTCCCTCACTCACTCCCTCACTCACTCTCTCACTCTCCTCCTTCCCTACAAACACAATCCAAGCTCGGTCCATCTCCCCAGCTCTCGCAAACCCCAGAACCAACGCCATCCGAAAACTTTCCGGCTCGGGCAGCCCGAGCGCCAAACTTTCCGCAACAGCTGCCCGGATCCCTGCAACGTCGCCCTGGGCAGCCAGGGCCTCGAGCCACATGGCGGCATCCCATTGGCTGAGAGGATAGCCTGCTTGGATCATGCTTGTTACGGTTGGTGGGATGAGGGGGAGGTGGTTGTGGGAGTAGAAGGAGCGGAGGAGCAGACGGTATGACTCGTGGTCGAGAGAAAAGGGGTTTGGCGAGGAGGAGGCGGAGGAGGAGGGAGAGGAGGAGGAGGGGAGGGAGGAGAGTGAGGAGAGGAGGGCTGCTGTGAGGGAGGCGGCGTGTGGCGAGCATGCCATGTCGTGCAGCAAGACCCTGCGAGATGATGGGAATGGGTGAGATGGGGATGAGGAAGAAGGGGAATGGTGGGGAAGGGGATGAGGGAAACCGCGGTAGGGAGGAAAGGAAGGGCGAGTGCAAGAGACGACAGGGAGTTAGAGAGGAGAGGACGACAGGTGGGGGTGGAAAGACAGAAAAAAAATGAAGGCCGTGTGGTGAGGTGGCAAAGGTGACTGGAGGCCAGAACAAGTAGGTGAAAAGTGGGCCAATCAGCAAGCAAAGCAAGATGTCTGGACCAATCACATCACTCACTTCACTAGTGACATCAGCTCCGGGACGTCTGCTGCTGCCCGCCTCTCCACCAATCCAATCGCATCCTCCCACCGCCCCTGCTGCGCCAGCACATGCACCATCGCAGAAAAGACAAACGAGTCCGGCCGCACGCCGTCCGCCTGCATCTCCTCGAACAGCGCCTCGCTTCGTCCCCACATGCGGGAGTGGGCGGCGATCTGAATGGCGAGGCTGTAGGAGTCGAGGCGCGGGCGGCACCATGGCTGCTGGCGCATCCAATCAAAGACCCTGAGGGAAACAGCTGGGGCATGCTGCATCCACAGCTCCAATATCTGCCACGCAAGTAAGAGAGAGTAACCACTTTATGAGAGGTGGAATGAGGTGTGGGCGGCACCGGGGCTGCTGGCGCATCCAGTCCAGTCACACACCCTGAGGGAGAGAGTAGGGGCGTGCTGCATCCACAGCTCCACAAACAATCTGTCGAATGGGTGGTATGAGGTGTGGAGGGGTGGTACAAGGTGGGGCGTGGGCGGCGCCATGGCTGGTGGCGCATCCAATCAAAGACCCTCAAGGAGAGAGAAGGGGCTTGCTGCAACCAGAGCTCCAAGATCTGCCAGGTAACCAGGTAACAGAAACAAACTAGGTTAGGAGGGGTGGTATGAGGTGGCACCAGGAGAGAGAAGGGGCTTGCTGCAACCAGAGCGCCAAGGAGTGCTGCATCCAGAGCTCCATGATCTGTTGAAAGGGGTGATACGAGGTGTGGAGGGGTAATGTGAGATGGGAGGGAGGGCAAGAGGTGGAGGGGTAGTATGAGGAGTGGCGGTGGCAGCAGGGTGCAGATACATCCAATCAGAGCCGGCCAGGAGCGACGGGATGGGTTGCAAGCAGATCTTTGGAATATAATTGCTCGAGGTTAAGGTTTGGGGTTTTGAAATTCAAGAATTGGGGTTTGGTGTTGAGGCTCTGGGGTTTTAGATTGAGGACTAGACAAGAATCCTGCGACGTGGCACTCACCAGTTCCATCATGTGGTATCGGTTGCCCCTCCACCCATCCACAATCTCCTCCACGCTCCGCCCCTCCCCACTCCTCTCTGCTGAAATCACCTGAGCCGCCACCTGAGCAGCCACCTGGACAGAGGATCCCTCCTCGTTTCCATCCCGCTCTCCACCTCTGACAGCACCACCTGCATCCCCTCCTCGTTTCTCCTCCCACCTCTCCTCCTCCTCCTCCTCCTCCGTCTGCCATTCACCATTCTTCTCATTCTGCCCCTCGCTGTCGCGCCGCTGCCTCTTGTCCTCCCACCTCTTCCACCCCTTCCATGTCCCCGCTTGCTCCCTCACACTCCTCTCCTCACTCTGCTCCTCCCCCCTCCCCCCCCCCCTCTCCCCCTCACCTTCATCTTCCCTCTCCTCACTTATATCACCGTTTTCACTGTCTAAAACCCTGCCATTTGAACCCCTACTTTCTAAAACCCTTTTTGGTAAAACCCTGTCCCCTCGCCTTGCTTGTCCCTGCTTGGCCAGAAGAAGCTTCTTCTGCATTTCCAGCGCCGCCCACTCCGATACAACCTCCCGCCAGCCCCAATAACGCGTACGCGCATCCGATTCACCTCTCCGCCGCGGGGAGTAACGACCCCGCGTTTCCACATTATGCCCCTGCCTCTGCCTCTGCCGCTGCGCTGGTTGCCCCTGCCCCTGCCGCTGCACCTGCGCTGGCTGCACCTGCACCTGCTCTAGTTGCGCTGGCTGCGCTGGGCGCCCCAACACTGGGAGAGGCTGCGGTGGCCGCGCTTGCGCAAATTCAGAAGCAAGCTTTCGGGCGCCCTCGCTACTCGGGCTCGCGCTGTGCCACGTGCGAGCTTGTAAAGTCGTAACCTCTGAACTCGTGGACTCTAAAGTCGTATCGTCTGAAGGCGTATTCTCTACCGCCGCATTCTCTAAAGGCGTATGCGCATTCCCGTTGGCCGATCTACTCGAAGGTAACGTTTCTCCTTCGATCCATGGGTCTTCTGTCCCCGATACAGAGTCGGGACTCGCTAAACGCGTTGGCTTATCGGACGTCTCTGACGAGCAGATGGAACTGGCCGATGCATCCCCGTTACTAGCACTGCTACGAATAACGGAACCCACTCGCCTGCGCCCTGCGGTTGTGGTTGGCGAGAGCAGCTGGGGAAGCGGCGGAAGGACCTGCCTGCGCAGATCGGAAGAGGCGAGGCGACGCGCGAGGAGTCTGCGAGGCGGCGGCAGGGCGCGATGAGCGAACGCGCGAGGAACGAGCGAGACAGGTGCTAGCGAGAGAGGAACGAGCGAGACAGGCGCGAGCGAGAGAGGAGCGGGCGACGGGCGCACGGGCGTGAGTGCGCCAGGGGCAGACCTCGACACGCGGGCACATCTACCGCAGGTGACGCGCGCGGTGCGTGCTGGTTGCGCGCTCGCGATTTGGCGGAACCCGAGGCGTTGCAGGGAAGAGACCGTTGGAGCGGCGAGAGACGGGGCGGACGCGGGGCATGCAACGCGCATCCGCGGCAGCGCCCCTACCGGGCCTGCCGGGACTGCCGCCATCGGAACGTTGGCACGTCGTGACACCGTAGGCTCGCCGACGGCGGCACAGCGGATTATGGATCGTAACTAGAACTGAAAGTCTGCGCCTTTGTCTGGGCTGAAACCACCGACCGGGCTGAAGCGATGCTCCTTTCGTGTCAGATGACTAGGAGTCGAATTTGTTGGCTGGTTTTGCGGTGAAGGGGAGCATGGAAGGAAGCGGAGTGAAGACACTTGTGAAGCAAGCTGCTAGGGGCGTGGGATATTTTGAAGAATCTGCGAATTCTGGGAGGAAAATATCTGCTAATGAGAGCTCCTCTATAAATGAAACTATATGCGATTCCTAATCTGCAATGTTTACGATTTGTTGTGCTCTTTTTGGTTTTGTTTGCAGGTTTTGGTACGCCCTACTCGTATATTTATGAATCCAAAAATTGACCCCCGATACGCTTCTACACATAATATATTGTGAATATTACCCATCGGAAATTTCATATTGGTTCGTGAAAGAGACAAACGAAATCCTCTTAAAGAGTATAATATGCTCGATTCATGTACCCGTATACTCGTTCTACCGTATTTGTTCCTCGTCACTCTTATATCGAGTAATTTCAACAACTAATCTCTGGCAGTCCTTACTTTCGGCCACACCAACTTCAGCGCCTATTTTCCTCCGCAACGCAGACGCAAGCACATTACTCCCGTCACTGTAGTTGAATAGTCGCGACACCGTCTCTGCGCAATTCGTGCTTCTTTCCCTATTTCAACGCCGCTGCTACCGATTAGGAAAGGAGAGAAAAAATATGTTGCTCGCTAGCAAGGCAAGGTGTAAGCCGGCATTATGACCTAGGTCGAGCGTCCTCCCCCACCCCAGGGCGTGCTAGGCGAAGCGAACTCTGCTGGAACGCTGTGCGCACCAAATTTCCCAATGCCTATTATGGGTACCACCGCTCTCGTGTCACCTTGCCGCTAGTAGACAGGTCACTTCTACCGCCAATCTCTCCCAATTTCCGCCAACGTTTCCGCATTGCGCATTGCTGGACAGCAGACGGTAGAAGCCGCGGTCCAGCCTTGCGCTGTTTCCGGTGTCTTTGGCAGGCGACATTCGGGCGACATCCGGGTCGATCGCCATGCCTGCGAGCCGCCCAGGACCAGCCATGGCTGCCTGGCGACAAGTGGGCTAGCCTCGAGTCGTCTTCTTTAGCCTCGAAGACAATAGCAGGTCTTCGCTCGATTACAGTATTTAATAGGCGTTTGCGGAAATCTGATATCTCTGGAGCACCCGCGCGGTTGCCGCGGTAGAGGCTTCGATTCGAGAAAGTCCGTTAAGAGTCGTTTTGGGGCGCCCCGACCGAACGGAGTTTCGCGCGGTTGCGGTTTGTAGCGCGATTCGTCTTTTAGAAGTCTCGGGTCAAGATGATGGCCAAGCATCGGCTGCCGACCATCTTCAGCGTCAATCAGGGCCGTACGATTGTCGCGGCGATGGACGGCTGCGAGATGTGCATCGACGCGCTACGCGATTTCGTGGAGGAGCGGATGCGGAAGCACGACGACCGTTTGATCGTGGCGCTCTATCACAACCGCACGTCGTGGCGATCCGCGCTCCGCGTCTCTCGAGCAGGCAAGCAACGCCCCTCCATCTCTCCCTTCTTCCTCTCCATTCCCTCATTCCTCCTCTTCCCTCCCTCACTTCTTCCTCACTCTTTCCTCACCCCTTCCTCTCTCCTCCATTTCCCCATGCGTACCCCTTGCTCACGATCAGCTACCCATCCCCAACCCTAGATGTTAATCTCATGTTTAGGCTCGTATATTCCTCTCCCCGAAAGCATCCACCCAGAATATACGAGAAAGAGTTGAAGCTCCCCCACAACAACCCAGCAACCCTCCCCCACAACAACCCAGCAACCCTCCCCCACAACAACCCAGCAACCCTCCCCCACAACAACCCAGCAACCCTCCCCCACAACAACCCAGCAACCCTCCCCCACAACAACCCAGCAACCCTCCCCCACAACAACCCAGCAACCCTCCCCCACAACAACCCAGCAACCCTCCCCCACAACAACCCAGCAACCCTCCCCCACAACAACCCAGCAACCCTCCCCCACAACAACCCAGCAACCCTCCCCCACAACAACCAGCAACCCTCCCCCACAACAACCCAGCAACCCTCCCCCACAACAACCCAGCAACCCTCCCCCACAACAACCCAGCAACCCTCCCCCACAACAACCCAGCAACCCTCCCCCACATCTGAGCTCCATTCAGCAGCGCAGCCCACCAGCTGCCCTCCTCCAACATTCTAGGCTATTGCAAATGCCCCCCTCCGCCCACAGGCCCCACCTCCACCTCCCTTTCCCGTCCCCCCTCTCCTCCCGCCGCCTCCCCTCTCCCTCCACCTGCTGTCACAAACTTAATCCAGCTCCCATCCCACACCTTCCCTCGCCTCCCCCTTCCATTCCCCATACACCCCACTCTCCTCCTCTTCCCCTCGTTCACCTGCCTTTCTCCTCCCATGTACACCAGACTCCATGAAGGGTGGGAAGGAGGATACACACAGCACAGCAGCGACCGGGAGTAGCCCATTCATCGCCCCTTCTCATCCCTCCCTTACGATTACCTCCTGACCTCGAACCTCCCCCCTTCTCTCTTCCCCCTCCTTGCGGACTCCATAAAGGACGGATACGACACGGACGGCACCGACCGGCAGCGCCCCATTCATTGTCCCTTCCCATCCTCTCCCTCCCTCACATTACCCTCCCTTTCCCTTTCCTCTCTCTCCCCTTTCCTCCTCCAGACTCCATAAAAGACGGCGAGGAAACTGATGGCAGCGACAGGGAGCAGGCGCTCAAGGAGCTCATGACGGCCACGGGCGGGGCGGGCGGGGGAGGAGCGCACGGCCCGTCGGTGAGCAACGTGTCGACCATCGGGACGGGCACAGCGGTGATCGACGAGGCCACAGCACCCGTGCTGCTGAAACGCCTCAAGTGGGACGGCGACGCCAAACAGGCGCTCTCCCGGCTTGTGGGAGTCTCTATTGAAAAGAAGGTGAGGGGATAAGGCACGAGGGACGACCGGACGGGCACGGCGGTGATTGATGAGGCCACGGTGCCTGTGCTGCTGAAACGAGTCAAGCGGGACAGGGACGCCAAGCAGGCGCTCTCCCGGCTCGTGGGGGTTTCCATTGAGAAGAAGGTGAGGGGAGGGAATTGGGGGGATGGAAAGGATCGGGGGAGGGAATTGGTGAGGGATTATGGGAGGGAATGCAAGGGGGAGAGGTGGGAGGCAAAAGCATGGATGCTGAGCAGGCGCTGTCCTGTGTCATCAGACCGGTGGCTCTACTGGATTCCAAGTCTGTGGCCTCTGCGGTAGTCGGTCAGTTTCTGCCACATAATCTCAGCTGATGCTCTGCGTCGCCGCAGAGTGCTTTGATCTCTGCTGAAGTGCTCGTGCTCTCCCCCCTTCCCCCCTGCTCGTCCCAGGTGCGCTTTGAGGTGGCTCTACTGGATTCCAAGTCCGTGCCATCTGCGGTTGTCAATTTCTGCGACATGATCTCAGCGGATGTGCTGGTGCTGGCCACGACACGTGGCATCTCCAGGCATGAGCCAGCTCAGCAGAACACGATCCAGAAAGTGCTGTCCAAGATTGGCCACGTCAGCCACACTGAGCTGGCGCACCACTGCAGCAAGAACGCCCCGTGCGCGGTGGTGATTATATCGGAGCATGAGGAGGAGGACGAGGAGGGATAAAATGGTTTCTGAGCTGTTTCAAAGCAAGAGTGGCCATGTCGGTTTCACTGAGCTGGCACACCACTGGAGGAGGAATGTGCCGTGCGCGAGCGGTTGTGGTTACGTCGGAGCACGAGGAGGAGGATGGGTAGGATGGGTAGATGAGTTTGAGGAGGAAAATTGGCATGGGCTGGTGGACTGTGGGGAATGCAAGGGAGAGCAGGCGGTGTGCTGCAGGGAAGCTGATTTCTTGGCGTTGTGAGCCTACGGTGCAACAAGGGAGTTGCCTACACAAGCTCCGGAAGAGGGATGGAGGGATTGAGGGATCGAGGTGCTGCTGAGCGCCCATGGTGTCATTCCCGTGAATTCCGCCTCTACTGAGTAGGCCCTAGATACCATGGGAGGATTCTGTGAGAGGGTTTTGCGAAAGACATTGGTCGCTTCCAAAAGTGATTTCTGCCACTGCGTCATTGGTTGGCACACTGCACTTGGTTTTTGCAGAGCATAATCACTTGCTCTGGTCACATTTAACCCCATGTTATATGCTTTGTATAATTGAATCTTGCTCAGCTAAAAACTTGGCTTAAAGCCACCTGGTGATTAGTACCCGTAGTGAGTGCTTTGTGTATGCTCTCTGTCATGTAGCGGTAATACCCGTTACCATTTTCCTTTTCACCTTGTGCTCTGTGCTAACGGGGATATCAAGGGAAGAAACATTTCGTCGAGCACTCAGCTCAGCATTGAGGTGGTATTCTGTATCTAGTTCGTTCATAAAGTTCAAGTGAAATCGCCACAACGTGTCGGGTCTGAACGCGTCGTGGTTGCAGTTTGACAATTTTCAGAGATTTTCCAAAACACGTTACTGCATCGGTACTACTATAACTGCAATTGTTCCAGTTTCGTAGGAATGTTTGCGAAGCTTTTTTGCTTATATGCGAAACAACTAATCTGTAACCATCTTGAGGCCGAACCTCTGAATTTCTACCGGACACCATCTAGGCATTACGTCAGGCACGAGTCGCTAGCAGATTCTCCTATGGCTATTCTAGTGCTGTCGCGTTGCATTGTCAAAATGACGCGGGAAGCTGATATTGTTCAACGAATCTCCCTGTGACTATCCTGTTTTTTAGCATCCAAATCCCACTTGTTCCAATTAAACCCGTCAATGGTCGCGGCGCGACGGCAGGATTCCGCGCGAGAGCGCGTGGTGCGGTCGCGTCGCGTCGCGCTATTAGCGGCCATTCCGGTGGCACTCGTGGCGCTAATCCTCTTCGTCTTCGTCCTCACCCCCGCCTCGGACAACGACAACGGCTCCCCTGCCCTAATCGGCGCGCATGGCAGATCATCCGCTCATGGCGGAAGCGCGTCGGATCGCGAGGCTTCGTCCCGCGACGAAAGAATAAGAAACATGCGCGAGAAGGGGAATTTGAAGGCGATTAAGATGGTGGCCGGCGGTGAAAGCGGCACCAGTGGTGGTGGTGGGGAGGCCGGGGGGGACACGTATGCTGTTGTTGTTGACGCTGTGAGCGCGGAGAGCAGCAGCGTCCACGTGTACAGATTTGATTCGCGGATGGAGCTGGCCGAGTTTCAGAAAGGGTCTGAAATGGTGCACTCGGTGAGCTTCTTCTGATCAGTGAGTTCTTTGTTTGTCTTTATTGTTCCGTCTCACTTCCACGCTTGCTGATATTTTTCCGAGAGATCCTATTAGTGATTTTCCTTTGTTCTGTATTGTAGACGGCTTTCTTGGCAACGCAAATGCTTCCTTCCGCCGCTCATATTCTTTGCTGGAATGCTCTCGTCATACCCATTCTCAACGTATGCTTCGCCATGCCATGCTATTTGATGCCATGACAGCTGAAGCCCGGGTTGGGAGCATAATAGGATAATCCCAAGGCAGCAGCGGACATCTTGCAACCGTTGATGAAGAATGCACTTAAAGCCACCCATGCTCTCCTCATGCCTTTTCACACTGTTGGTTGCCATGCCATGACAGGTGAAGCCCGGGTTGGAACATGTTGGGCTAATGCCAGGATAGCAGCGGACATCTTGCGGCCGCTGATGAAGAATGCACTGAAAGCCACTCCCATGCTCTCCTCATGCACTCCCCATGCTCCCTTCACACTGTTTGTTGCCATGGCAGGTGAAGCCTGGCCTGGGTGCGTATGGGGATAACGCCACAGCAGCAGCAAACAGCCTGCGACCGTTGATGAAGAAGGCACTTAAAGCCGTGCCTGAGTTCATGAGACCAGTCACACCCGTTCTTGTCAGGGTACGCTGATTGGTGCATTCACTTTGGCAGGGTACGTTGCTGGCTGCACCCAGTTAGCCATGCACTACACCTGGCCTTAAGATATGTTTTTTTTTACAAGTGAAGTGATTGTGGTTATACTGGTTTGGTGACCTTATGTCTGCGTGACTGTATCGCACATGGTGACCTCACACAACTGTGACTGTATCGCATATGGTGACCTCACGCAACTGTGACTGTATCGCACGCATGTGACTGTATGCATGGCAGGCCACTGGAGGGCAGGAACAGCTGTCAAGAGACCAGGCTGGCAAGATCCTCGCAGAGGTGAGGTTTTAAACTTTGGGCCTTGGGCTTTGGGCTTTTTGCTCTGGGCTGAAAGATTTTGGGGGCCTGCCAAGAAGTGGGGGAGGGAGGAGAAAGGTGAGGGTGAGAGAGAGAGAGGCGAGTGGGGGATGGGATGGCATGGCGTATTGCGTAGTTTTCAGTATTCAGCACAGCAGCCGTTGAGGCGTTTTAGAGGCGTGACTGATGGAGAGGACAAGAAGAGAGTAAAACAGAGAGCAGCGAATTCCTGGTCTGCGTTCCCTTCTTCTCTCCCTCCTTTATTTCTTCCTTTTTATTTCGGTTGAACCCAGGAGAAAAATCCCCTCCCTTGATCCTCATCCCTCGTTCCCCACTACCCCACCCTGCCCTCCCCATCCCCCTCCTCCCTCCCCGCTCCCCCTCCCTGCTCCTCCTCGCCCTTCCCCCCTCCCCCATCCCCTTTCCCCACCCCTCCTCTTCCCCCAGATCCGCCAGATGCTGACGGAGTACCCGTTCCCCTTCAGCCATGGTGACGTCAGCACGCTTGGTGATACAGATGCGGGCTTCTTTGCCTGGGTGCGTGGGGGGTGGGGGGAGGGGGGAGGGGGGGGCGAGAGACGAGGCTGGGGGGGTGGCTGTGGGGGAGATGCGGTATTTAGACAGAGAGGGCGTGTAGATGAGCCGGGGTGGTTGTGGCCATGGGGGCGTAGGGGAGCATGGGCATGCATGGCATGATGACGTCATGGGATGGCGATGGCATGGCATGGTGCATTGTTGGTGTGGCACTTCTTCTTCATGCACTGCTTCTTTCTCCCCCCTTCCCCCATGCTATCCAGACAGCTGTGAACCATCTCCTGGGAAACCTGGGAAAGCTTCAGGAAAAGCACCTGAAAATCCACCTGGAGCCAACAGTGGCAGTCGTGGAGCTGGGGAATACCAGCGCCCACGTGGCATATGCTGTTCCTGCTGACGTGGCGGATAAGTTGCCAGCTGGAAACGTGAGAATGCTGCGCGATTCGGGAAGCACCCACCATGTCTATGTGCGCAGGTGAGTTGTGGGGGGGAGTCTGGTGACTTCAGAGTCAACTCAAAAGTCAAGTCAAACGTCAACTCTGCACAGGTGAGAGGGGGTGCTGGTTCTGTTGATAGCCTGTGCGTGCATGCAGGGTAGCAGTTTGAGAGGGAGAGGGAAGGGAAAATGAGGAGGAGGGGGGGGAAATGGTGATGTTGTGTGCGAGCAGGATGCAGGATGGGTCTGCCTAAATGCAAAAATGAACCAATAAATTCACCCATCACCTCTGGTTTCTAGGCGCCTTAGTAATCATCTTGCCCACCTCTCTTCTCTCCCATCTTCATTTTCTTCTCCATCTCCATCCCTCTGCATCGCTCCCCACTGCGGCTCCAGCATGCAGGGCTATGGGCTGATGGCAGGGAGAGCATTGGTGCTGCGAGCTGCTAATGACACCCAGGGCCATCCGTGCATGGGCTCTCATGGTATGGCTGTGCATGCATGCATGCGTGCACATGGGCTCTCATGGTATGGCCATGCATGCATGGGCTCGCATGGTATGGCCGTGCATGCATGGGCTCTCATGGTATGGCCGTGCATGCATGCATGCGTGCACATGGGCTCTTGTGGTAGAGTTGTGTGTTCCCTTTGGTTTTGTGCACTTAAACTTATGGTCTTGCATATTCTTTTACGCCTTTGGCTTTCAGAGGGTGACTGCTTCCTTGCATGCCCACTCCCATGTCGTGTATCCCCCACCTCTCACCACCCCTGCTATCACAGGCGATTGCATGAGAGCGGGCAGCGCCCATGCCATACCAGCCTTTTCCCACCCTTCCATTGCCTCCCACTCCACTCCATTTGCCCCTGCCTCCTTGCATGCAGCCCTGGTCTAACTCCCCCATCCAGTGCCCCTCCCCCTGACTCATATGTCAACCACCCCACGCCTCTTCAGGCACATCCAAGCAAAGCAGCGACACTACCCCTGCCTCCCTGCATGCAGCCCTCTGCTCCAAGGCCACACTCCACGCCCTGCAACAGGGAGCAGCAGCTGGTGCGGCAAGCACCACCACCAGCACAACTGCTTCGTCCTTCTCCGCCCAGGATTCTCCTCACGCTCACACCCACGCGGCTTCTGCCGATGCATCATTGGATCCCATGCTCGGCTCTCCTACACATGTGTGTCCGCCAGGCCGTGCCTGCTTGCTGCCCACGGCACTGGATGGGCTGCTGGGGGGACCACGTAGAGGAGGTAGAGGAGGGGAGGGCGCAGTGCGGCAGCTGGTCGTCACCTCGGCTCTTTTTGACACAGCGCACCAGGTGACCTGTGTGCTTGTGTTTTGGTGGGAGGTTTCAAGAATGGTGCGGGCACCGGGTGTGGGATGGTATGCGGGGTGGACGGGGGCAGAGTTGATCGCCTTCAGTGCAGCTTCAATTGACAGTGCAATGAGTGGGTTTGGTGTAACAGGCGGTTCTGTGTGTTTTGCACTTCAATGCCCCATGATTGCCTCTAAAATTTTGTGTTTTCTATCGACGCCCCCTCATGTCCCTGATGCCACATCTTCTCCACATTTTTCCATCATCCACTAATATGCTTTAGCGGTTCGCATCTGTATCGCCATCCCCTTTATAAGCAGTTCGGGCTAATCCCTCACAGCAACTCCACCGCAGTAGCCACGGCAGAAACCACTGCAGCACCCATCACAGCTCAACACTTTGCTCGGATAGCGGAGGAGACATGTGGCATTCCCCTGCAGGAAGCCACCAGGAAGTTTCCACTGATGAACGGCCAGGATGCTCCGTACGCTTGTCTCGATGCGAGCTACCTCTTCCACCTCCTCACCTCGGGATTGGGTAAGTTATCCGTACCTCAGGTTTTAGCAGATTTCCTGCTTTCTTTCTTGCCATGTCTAGTGCTTCCTGCATTGTTGCACAATGCTTTGCTTGCTATGTTGCTTGCATGCACAATGCTTTGCTGGCAATGTTGCTTGCACAATGCTTTGCTGGCAATGTTGCTTGCACAATGCTTGCTTGCAATGTTGCTTGGACAATGCTTCGCTTGCTATGTTGCTTGCACAATGCTTTGCTTGCTATGTTGCTTGCACAATGCTTTGCTCGCTATGTTGCTTGCACGATGCTTTGCTTGCTATGTTGCTTGCACGATGCTTTGCTTGCTATGTTGCTTGCACGATGCTTTGCTTGCTATGTTGCTTGCACGATGCTTTGCTTGCTATTTTGCTTGCACAATGCTTTGCTTGCTATGTTGCTTGCACAATGCTTTGCTTGCTATGTTGCTTGCACAATGCTTTGCTTGCTATGTTGCTTGCACAATGCTTAGCTTGCTATGTTGCTTGCACAATGCTTTGCTTGCTATGTTGCTTGCACAATGCTTTGCTAGCTATGTTGCTTGCACAATGCTTTGCTTGCTATGTCGCTTGCACAAGCTCGTTCTTGCGATGCTTCGCATCAGAAGTCGAAAATGTTTCGACATATGTAGAGCATGCATTAAACATATGTAGAGCATGCATTGGACATATTTAGAGCATGCATTGGACAGATGTAGAGCATGCATTGGACATATGTAGAGCATGCATTGGACATATGTAGAGCATGCATTGGACATATGTAGAGCATGCATTGGACATATGTAGAGCACGCATTTGACATGTGTAGAGCATGCATTGGACATATGTAGAGCATGTATTGGACACATGTAGAGCATGCATTGGACATATGTAGAGCATGCATTGGACATATGTAGAGCACGCATTGGACATATGTAGAGCATGCATTTGACATGTGTAGAGCATGCATTGGACATATGTAGAGCATGTATTGGACAGATGTAGAGCATGCATTGGACATATGTAGAGCATGCATTGGACATATGTAGAGCACGCATTGGACATATGTAGAGCATGCATTTGACATGTGTAGAGCATGCATTGGACATATGTAGAGCATGTATTGGACAGATGTAGAGGCATGCATTTGACATATGTAGACCATGCATTTGACATATGTAGAGCATGCATTGGACATATGTAGAGCATGCATTGGACATATGTAGAGCACGCATTTGACATGTGTAGAGCATGCATTGGACATGTGTAGAGCACGCATTGGACATATATAGAGCACGCATTGGACATGTGTAGAGCATGCATTGGACATATGTAGAGCACGCATTGGACAGATGTCGAGCATGCATCGGACAGATGTAGAGCATGCATTGGACATATGTAGAGCATGCATTGGACATATGAAGAGCATGCATTGGACATATGTAGAGCACGCATTTGACATGTGTAGAGCATGCATTGGACATATGTAGAGCATGTATTGGACAGATGTAGAGCATGCATTGGACATATGTAGAGCATGCATTGGACATATGTAGAGCACGCATTGGACATATGTAGAGCATGCATTTGACATGTGTAGAGCATCCATTGGACATATGTATAGCATGTATTGGACAGATGTAGAGCATGCATTGGACATATGTAGAGCATGCATTGGACATATGTAGAGCACGCATTGGACATATGTAGAGCATGCATTTGACATGTGTAGAGCATGTCTTGGACAGATGTAGAGGCATGCATTTGACATATGTAGACCATGCACTTGACATATGTAGAGCATGCATTGGACATATGTAGAGCATTGATTGGACATATGTAGAGCACGCATTTGACATGTGTAGAGCATGCATTGGACATGTGTAGAGCACGCATTGGACATATATAGAGCACGCATTGGATATGTGTAGAGCATGCATTGGACATATGTAGAGCACGCATTGGACAGATGTAGAGCATGCATTGGACATATGTAGAGCACGCATTGGACAGATGTAGGGCATGCATTGGACAGATGTAGAGCATGCATTGGACATATGTAGAGCATGCATAAGACATATGTAGAGCATGCATTGGACAGATGTAGAGCATGCATTGGACATATGTAGAGCATGCATAAGACATATGTAGAGCATGTATTGGACAGATGTAGAGTATGCATTGGACATATGTAGAGCATGCATTGGACATATGTAGAGCACGCATTGGACATATGTAGAGCATGCATTGGACATATGTAGAGCATGCATTGGACAGATGTAGAGCATGCATTGGACATATGTAGAGCATGTATTGGACATATGTAGAGCATGCATTTGACATGTGTTGAGCATGAATGGACATATGTAGAGGCATGCATTGGACATATGTAGAGCATGCATTGGACATATGTAGAGCATGCATTGGACAGATGTAGAGCATGCATTGGACATATGTAGAGCATGCATTGAACATATGTAGAGCATGCATTTGACATGTGTTGAGCATGCATTGGACATATGTAGAGCACGCATTTGACATGTGTAGAGCATGCATTGGACATATGTAGAGCATGTATTGGATAGATGTAGAGCATGCATTGGACACATGTAGAGCACGCTTTGGACATATGTAGAGCATGCATTGGACATATGTAGAGCATGCATTGGACATATGTAGAGCATGCATTAGACATATGTAGAGCATGCATTGGACATATGTAGAGCACGCATTTGACATGTGTAGAGCATGCATTGGACATATGTAGAGCATGTATTGGACAGATGTAGAGCATGCATTGGACATATGTAGAGCATGCATTGGACATATGTAGAGCACGCATTGGACATGTGTAGAGCATGCATTGGACATATGTAGAGCACGCATTGGACAGATGTCGAGCATGCATTGGACAGATGTAGAGCATGCATTGGACATATGTAGAGCATGCATTGGACATATGTAGAGCATGCATTGGACATATGTAGAGCACGCATTTGACATGTGTAGAGCATGCATTGGACATATGTAGAGCATGTATTGGACAGATGTAGAGCATGCATTGGACATATGTAGAGCATGCATTGGACATATGTAGAGCACGCATTGGACATATGTAGAGCATGCATTTGACATGTGTAGAGCATCCATTGGACATATGTATAGCATGTATTGGACAGATGTAGAGCATGCATTGGACATATGTAGAGCATGCATTGGACATATGTAGAGCACGCATTGGACATATGTAGAGCATGCATTTGACATGTGTAGAGCATGTCTTGGACAGATGTAGAGGCATGCATTTGACATATGTAGACCATGCATTTGACATATGTAGAGCATGCATTGGACATATGTAGAGCATGCATTGGACATATGTAGAGCACGCATTTGACATGTGTAGAGCATGCATTGGACATGTGTAGAGCACGCATTGGACATATATAGAGCACGCATTGGATATGTGTAGAGCATGCATTGGACATATGTAGAGCACGCATTGGACAGATGTAGAGCATGCATTGGACATATGTAGAGCACGCATTGGACAGATGTAGGGCATGCATTGGACAGATGTAGAGCATGCATTGGACATATGTAGAGCATGCATAAGACATATGTAGAGCATGTATTGGACAGATGTAGAGCATGCATTGGACATATGTAGAGCATGCATAAGACATATGTAGAGCATGTATTGGACAGATGTAGAGCATGCATTGGACATATGTAGAGCATGCATTGGACATATGTAGAGCACGCATTGGACATATGTAGAGCATGCATTGGACATATGTAGAGCATGCATTGGACAGATGTAGAGCATGCATTGGACATATGTAGAAAATCCATTGGACATATGTAGAGCATCCATTGGACATATGTAGAGCATGCATTTGACATGTGTTGAGCATGAATGGACATATGTAGAGGCATGCATTGGACATATGTAGAGCATGCATTGGACATATGTAGAGCATGCATTGGACAGATGTAGAGCATGCATTGGACATATGTAGAGCATGCATTGAACATATGTAGAGCATGCATTTGACATGTGTTGAGCATGCATTGGACATATGTAGAGCACGCATTTGACATGTGTAGAGCATGCATTGGACATATGTAGAGCATGTATTGGATAGATGTAGAGCATGCATTGGACACATGTAGAGCACGCATTGGACATATGTAGAGCATGCATTGGACATATGTAGAGCATGCATTGGACAGATGTAGAGCATGCATTAGACATATGTAGAGCATGCATTGGACATATGTAGAGCACGCATTTGACATGTGTAGAGCATGCATTGGACATATGAAGAGCATGTATTGGACAGATGTAGAGCATGCATTGGACATATGTAGAGCATGCATTGGACATATGTAGAGCACGCATTGGACATATGTAGAGCATGCATTTGACATGTGTAGAGCATGCATTGGACATATGTAGAGCATGTATTGGACAGATGTAGAGGCATGCATTTGACATATGTAGACCATGCATTTGACATATGTAGAGCATGCATTGGACATATGTAGAGCATGCATTGGACATATGTAGAGCACGCATTTGACATGTGTAGAGCATGCATTGGACATGTGTAGAGCACGCATTGGACATATATAGAGCACGCATTGGACATGTGTAGAGCATGCATTGGACATATGTAGAGCACGCATTGGACAGATGTCGAGCATGCATCGGACAGATGTAGAGCATGCATTGGACATATG